GAGATGGATAAGAGAGCTTTTCTTTTCCCCAGGGGTTGGTCTTGTGACTGCTGTCAAGATGTTGATTCAAAGCAGATTTTTCAACCTGTCTGACAGTAACCATGACTCAATGTTGAATCTCGTTCTACATTTTGTGAGCGATGCTTATTTTCTTTCTCTCCGAGAGTGAGATGAGACGATGGATGCTGAAGGCCCCTGGGAACCTTCACAGGTAAAATCAGCCTGTTGCACAAGTCAGTCAGTTCCTGAGCTTTCTACTCAACAACAAATAGATGCTTTTATCGAAGACCCCGAGTCTCTATCTCCCTCTGCACGCTCACTGCTCCCCAACGCATTTCTGCCTAATGTGCAGCCCCCTCTGTAATATCTGCCTCCACTCTATTCATATTTCCTGGCTGGAATTAGGCAAGGAGCCATTAAATATAAATCCTCCCTTCTTTCATTTGGTTTCTATTATTCTGCAGTTATCAGGAGCGCACACACACACACGCAAACAAGGACTGTCTCTCTGTCTCACACACACACACACACACACACACACACACACACACACACACACACACAAAAACACACTTCAGCGCCGGAGTTCACATGTCAGTCTTCTTAGTGGTTACACTGGCACAGACACAGACACACAAAGAGATTTTTAAGCCACAGCCGCAAAATAAATCAAACCATTTCCCACTGTAATTGTTTCCAGATGTCATTTCTCTCGACACAATGAAGAAATCTAAACATGACAAATAAAACTGCTCGTGTTGTGTTTAAGGGTCGCTTCACCTGACAACAAGCAACGTATTCTTACTGACCTCGTCCACCAATGGAGACAGCTTTTATTGGAAATGCCACAATAAATGTTTGCTTTGTATGTTTCTGTAAACCACAGATATGTTACACTAGTGCGTTATAATATCACGGATAGGTTCATTTCATTTATTTATTTATACAGGAAGGAATTAAAAAGTAACATCATGTGTTACAGGTAAATCTGGTTTTCAGCAGGTTCCTGTTCAGCAACAAAAACACATCACAATACAAAATAAAAACAGAAACAATCAACAGAGGCAAAAGAAGTGTAGGCAGCTGCAGAGGCATTACAGAGTAGAGGACTGAAGTGGAGTAAAATGGGATATGCGATTTAAATCAGTGGCTGCAGGTGTGTCCTTCCATCAGATAGTGTTTATATGCGTGTTTGAAATGTGTAACAGAGGTTATAGCTCTGATGTAGTGTGGGCTGTCGTTCCAGATCTTAGACAGAATCATCTCTGACCATAACTGTTTTTGTGAGGTGGTACAGGAATAAGTGCATGTGAGACTGATCTAGTGACGTGTTGCTGTCTTGTGTTGTGACTTGGAAGTAGTGCAGCGAGTGTGGGATTGGAATTGTTGTTTAGGATCTGAAAATATAATTTAACTAGTCCATCCCCATTGGTGGCTTTGTCACCTTCTATCTAAGCTAGTCCTCAATGCCTATGTGCAGTTTCACATAGATTGACCACGTCAGTGAGTAGAAAAACGTGGGACAGACAGAATGACTGACTGACAGAATGACACACTGACAGTTTCCGTGATTATGTACAGCATACCATACCATGACTTAGTCATACCAAACATTAGAAAACAACACCAACATTGGTCCACAGGGGGAGCCACAGCGATCGGTCGCATTTTAGCCATTTTGAAGCATTTTTCTGTTGTTATAGCGCCACCCAGTTGCCAATTAGAGTTAAATTTCTCCAGTCACCTTGAGGCGTCCTGTTCTACATATCTACCAAGTTTAGTAAAAATCCATATGGCGGTTAGGCCTAGATAAGAAATGAGCTCTCTAGCGCCCCCATTTTGTTTGATGGGGTCAATAATGGAGGGGTCCCCTCAGATTATGTGTGGTCATATGCCTACAAAGTTGCGTGGTGATGGGTGAAACCCTTGAGATGTTATACACCTTTATGTGATGAGCCACGCCCTCCGCAATATTCATTGCCTTATAGAAGCTCAGTTTTAGTAAGTTTTCCAACTTTTGCCAAGAGGGAACTTTAGATATTGGTCCCTAGATTATGTTCACCCAGTTTCATGCAGATCGCTCAAACTTCCTAGGAAGAGATCCATTTGAAGTGTTTTTCAAAAAATTCAAAATGGCGGAAAATCTATATAAGCGGAAGTTATGGGTTCTTGAGGCAAATGTGTTCCTCATGAGGAGAGGCATCTCTGTGCAAAGTTTCATGTCTCTACGACATACGGGGCATGAGATATGCCCATTCAAAGTTTGACATTTCAATGGGTTGCTATAGCGCCCCCCTTTGGCCAATTGATGTAATATTGCTTCACTGGCATCCTCCCATGACCCTCTACCACTGTGCCAAATTTCACATGGATTGACCAAGTCAGTGAGGAGAAAAACGTGGAACACACACACACACACACACACACACACACACACACACACACACACACACACACAGAGTTTTCCTCATTATATAGTAAAATGGCTAAATTATTTGTGTAGTTTTGAAAAGTCAGAGTTTGAGAGTGCAGTGATGAGTCCAAAGGGGAGGTTACCATGGATATTGTAAGCTCTGTTGTGTATTCTTACTATGGGCTCAGTGGTTTCCTTGGTGGTGAGGGACCATACAGGGAGACAGTAGGATATATTCGAGAGAATGACTACATGTAGGTATATGTCTGAAACAGCAGGGGTGAGATCTGGTCTGATCTTGTTACAGACGTACAGTTTCTGGGTGAGTCTCTCTGTTAGGTTCTGAATGTGGTGTCAATAAGTGAGATGTGAGTCGAGGAATACTCCAAGATATTTGTAAGTTTCTGTGATGGTTAGTGTTTGATTTGCAAAACGAACAGGGCCAGACATAGATATGTTTTTTTAGGGGAATGAAAATACATACATCCTGTTTTCTTGACACTGATAGTTCGATGATTATGTTTCAGCCAGTCGTGTTTGTGGTTAAGATCTGATCATAGTTTCCAATTTCCAAGATGTCATGGTTTGGATCAGAAAGAAAAAGTCGAAACTATTGAAGCTATTCTTCACAAATGTCCACTTCAACTAAATGATGACCTGATTAGTTTTTGATGGTCATAGGTCAAAGGTCAAGGTCACTGTGACCTCATCTGTCTCAATCTAGTGAACGTGATATCTCAAGAACAGCTTTAAAGAATTTCTTCAGATTTGACGAAGAAGAATAAAGTGATCAGTATTTTGTGGTCAAAGGGTCAAAGGTCAGCTTGACTGTGACATCATCATGTTTTAACATCATATCTCAGGAACAGAAGGGGAGACGTTTGGTCAGATACTGAATTGGTGACTCTAATCTTGAAACTGTGCTGATTGTATAGATCTTCTGTGTGTGAAGCGTCCATGTTTTCACTGACATGGATGGAGACTGTCAGAGACACTGGACTGGTGGGCGGAGTCATACAACCACAGGGTGGACTGGTGGGCGGAGTCATACAACCACAGGGTGGACTGGTGGGTGGAGTCAAACAACCACAGGGTGGTGATTCTGTGTTTTTTTCATAAGAAAATAAGCTTACTTTAATGCACTCTGGCACCTTTTCTAACATTCAAAGTAGGCTACAAAGATGAATTCCCAGAGTGAATCAATTTATTGTCATTGTGAATCAGAAAAAAAAGGTGGTGTGCCACCTCCACACCCACCACCACTCAATCGTAGGCCACATCTGGCCCATGGGCTGTAAGTTGAGTGACACTGCTCCAGATGTTTTGCGCCTGAGCAGCACTGCTCACACAGGCATTGTGGCCCGGTTGTAAGTGGCCCTGCTGTCATCAGCATCAATGCAGAACTCACTCAGAAGCTGTCCCCTAATTAACAACCTGCAGCCAGGTAACACCGACACATGTGCCTCTGCAGAGGCCCCAAAATGACCAGCAGTGGCCCTGCAACCCAGCAATTTGAGACCAGTGACCTGACCCATATCTGTACCCTTATCAATCAAGCTCAGAGCTGGCTGCTGGAGGCAGAGTGTGCAGTGATAGATGCAGACTGCAGAGTCTCAACAGATAATGCTCACACGTGTTTCTGACAGCTCTTCAGAACTCTGGATTTTCTATGCATGCACACCTGGCACAACACGGATACCTTCATTCATTTTTTAAGGTCTTGTAAGACAGGATTTAAACAGTAACACACTCTCTGCAGACTCGCTGCCTGCTGCAGAAGATTCCTGCTTTCTACAGTGAGATCATCACTGATCACTGGTGGGCAGGTAGGTAGGTAGGTAGGTAGGTTTTTATTTATCCCATGGGGAAATTCTTGTTTCCACAAGCTGACATAAAATCACACCACAATAACACCACAACAAGAATAGATACAGTGGCAATACAAATAAAGGAAGTAAAAAGTCCTTGAGTCCCTAAGTGACTATTCATTAATTAACTGGCCAGAGTCCAATGAGGTGTCTAGTGGCAGGTGGGAGAGGGGGTTAGGTCACGAGCCACTTCCACTGACTGAGGTGAGGTTTAGGTTCTGTTGACTTCTCTACCTTCAACAAACACCATTTAGAGCTGTTAAGAGGACAGGTAGGATTCATACATTTAAGTGTAAGGCATAAAAACTGAAACTCATTTTTTGTCCTTTTCCTTTCTCCTTTTCTTCCACCTACATCTACTTTAATTCATTTCAGCTGTCAGACATGTTGCTGTTGAAACTCTTTTATGTCAGTTGTTTATATTTCGAGCACCACAAATGAAATGTTATTAGGCCATAACTCAAAACCTGGACCGATAAAGCTGAGCCTATCTGCACGGCTCCAACAACAACCACACTAATGTCAGAAAACAGTTTCCTAACATCAGGGAAACTGTTTTCTCAGGTTTGCATAGAAATTTTTTTTCAGTCAAGACAGCAACATCAGATTATTGAGCTTCTGCTGGAACATTCCTGAACAACACACACACACACACACACACACACACACAGTGAGAGGCAGGCAAACAGAGATTGAGAAAATCCTGGAGCTGACGGAGTTGGCACAGACTTACTCAGTCAGGGTTGAGTCACTTCTCACACAGCGTCTAACACACAACACAGGTTAAAATGTGATGTGAGAAGTCAAACTGGCAGAGGAGTGGAATCTGACCTCCCATCTCAAGGTGAGTGAAACATTTTTTTCCTCTCATCTGTTTTAAACGTGATGCTTTGACTCTTAATATAAAAATAATTCTAGTAAAGTTTGTTACAGTTTAAATCTGCTGTATTCAGAACTCACTGGGTTATAACATTGAGCTCATATATAGATTGTGCATGTACTCATGGTGACTAAAGCCAAACATTAATCTATTCAGGTTTTAAATGTAATAATTACTGGCACTGTGTAAACAAAGATATCAGACTGTGGTAAGAGACATCACTCAGTCATCACTGGCCAGACATCTGACACACAGTCTGACAAATGTTTTTCATCCATTTATAGAATAAAAGTGTCAAAGTGTCAAAGTGTGCTGCAGTTTTGACTGTCTGTGTATTAAAATATGATCAACAAGCAGCAACCTTTCAGTTATTTTACCTGACTGTCAGGAACAAATGTGTCACCATTATGTGCTTCCCCTCTTTGCTGATGACTCTGCCCGTTACATATGACACAATGTTCCTGTCAAAACAACCCGAGCACAGTCATTACCTTCCGGCCGCGTGTTTCAACACATCCACTGATCAGAAAGTAAAAGTTAAGAGGTTCCAAAGGATGATTCTAACAATTGGCTGATTACTGATTTCACACTTCTGAGGCTTGGCTAGTTATTAGTGTCAAGTCTCTGAGCCCTGTGGGCCACTGAGCAGCTCCGCTGGAGTAATTGGGGGTTGACAACATCACTCAAGCGCACTTCAGTGGTGATAATGAGCAGGGAGGAAAGTGTGGCTCTTTCAGTTTCCCGATCCAGATTTTTTCTTGTTGGTTCAGGGATCGCACCGACTGCTTGCTCTGCCTGGGGGCCACTTTTCCAAAATGACAGGAGGCCAGGGATCGACTGCAGCAGCTCTGCACAGGTCAGGTGTAGGCAGGAGCGTTTGTAGGATCTGAGAACATTTGGGACTTTGCCTGTACCTCTGTCAGGGGGCCCAGAGGATCTTCTACTGGCACCCTTTAGATAAACAAGCTCTTTTTTTTACTGACTGTGAAAATCTGGGCTGATACTGATGTTTAAACTGACAACTTGGCCAACAGTCGATACTGAACCTGATGCTTTTTTGCTGTTGTTTATTTTGTTTTTCTTCTTATTTATTTGCCATCTGGTGGCACAAAAATCTGCATGACAATCTTCAGTTAAAGTCACTGCTTCATTACACTCACTTTAAATGAGCACTCATTTAATCAAACACATTTATCAAACAACCTTTAAAATAACCTTTGACATATATTTTTTAAATAACTGCTTCAAAAGCGTTTTATCTACATACATCATAACTCCCTCGTGTTTCTCGCCCAAAAATACTCATTTTTACTTAATAGAGCTTAAACGCATCATAATATAACTTGATGCATAACAGCTAGCAGCTAACAGCTAACAGCTCACATTAACTGGCTCTCCTCCTGCCAACTTTAACACAGATGTGTTGTTATCAGAGTTTATGGCGTCCTTTCTCCCGTTGGCCTCTCAAGGAAGATCCCTGTTCATCACAAGCGCGTTTGTTATTGTTCCTGGAACGACAGGACACATTTAGTCTCGAGTCCTGCATTTTAGCGTGAGCAAAGTTGATGTGATGTCATTCTATTTGCTGATAGGCCAATAGCGGTCAATAAGACGTGATGTGTGGCCAATAAACTGGTGGGTCTCCACTCCAGTGTTGTGGCTCCCAGGATAACACAGTTGAGTGTTCCAAGTACAGTTGTCATTTTGTGACTTTTCTCCGCACTGAAATATCCTCAAAACACTGAAGTGATTGGCAGGAAATTCACCAGAGAATAATGTGCAATAATTATTGATCGAGTGTCATCAAGAAAATTTCAATGAGTTCATTTTATGACCACATATCTGTAAAACTAATGACATAACATGACATTATATATGTGTTGTTGTCTGGGTCTTATGATGGGATTGGCTGAGGATTAACTGTCGTCACCTGTGAAGCTCATTTCAGTTTGTTCTCTGCCTGGCTGAAGATGTTTGTGGAGTTCCTCTACACACAGTGAGGCAGATGTTGTAAATGTTTTTTGGAAGAATCCAGCCTGTGGGTCTTATTGACATTAGCAGAAGTTGTGTCCGAGACTTTTTTGGGATTTGTTTATATTCTGAAGTCACCAGATCCCTGCTGCTGTTTTGACCTCTTCAGTCTCTTTAAACTATTTCATGCTGCACAGCGCTGTTTGTATCAGTCCTTCACTTTTTCTTTTTACGTTGTGACTTTAGTTATTTTTGAAGGTCATTTTGAACAAAGCAGCTTTTAGTCTTCCCTTTTTATCTCTCACTTCCTGGAGAATGTGGCGCTGCCTTGACCACACATGCCTGCTGTGGTCACATATATGTTGTTGACTTGATGGGAAGTGAAGCCCAGACTTCCAGTTAGAGCTGGAACAGTGAATTCTTCTCTGGACCACTTTAAGTTCGAAAGCAACCACCTGTTAACCCACTTTGTCTGGCATGTGTGTGATTTGACTAAGCCAGGAAAAAGGCAGACCCTCGGTTGCTCAATCAATTGTTACTCATTCACTGGCTGTGCCACAGAGCACGGAGCACAGGACAATGGTACAGAGGTGGAGTCAAATCACACTAACACAGTACACAGTGTTCTTTGCCAACCTCCCTTTTGGAGGTCACACAGGATGATGTTTAGATTTCTGTGAAATAATGACGTTTTAGTGATGAGACAACCTTCTTTCTATTTTTGAAGCCTTGAAACTGTTACTGAGCAACTACAGGACTCATCTCTTTCTGGTTTTTATCCCTGAAACAAAAACATCATGTTGAAAAGAAAATGGAGGATCATCCCCATGTGCCAAACACAGTCACCAGAATAAATGCTGGGATTGTTCATATCTGCAAAAAAAAAAAAAAAAGTGGGGGATTTTGTGACGTCAGTTGCTTTTTCCGAGAGCTGTAAGGACAAAGATGGGAACATTTTTCGACAGCATGCACAGGAAGTTGTTTCACCTTTGGGATTTGACTTATCTCTTCCTCCTGAGAGATGATTTCCTGCTGTCTCCGTTCCCATCCCCAAAAGTTAATGAGTCAGCAATGTTCATCCATCCTTTCCTTTATTTTATCTAAAAGATTGCATTGTGCAGATTTAAAGGGTCACTTCACCTACTTTTCCCTGGAAGCATCTATGCGGATAGGTTTGGTTTTACCGGTCTGTCTTCACTGTGGACAGTTTACATAGAATCTATTTTCTAACAAATAATAGTTCTAATAAAAACTGGCAGTTTATCCAAAATAATGGAGGCACTGTCTCTCAGAGAAAGCAGCTTTTTAAAACTGAAGAAAAAAATCAGTGCTTTGAGCAGCAGAAATGAAATTTATTTCATCGTATGTGGGTGGCAGCAGAGACGCCATATCAAAACATCCAACAAGCAGAGCTGTATCTGTGGTTAAGTAGCACCAGGTGTGAGTGGGCAAATGGTTACGAAAAGGAAGAAATCACTTGATGTTTGACATGAACAACCCCAGCTCTTAAACATATGGAGAGTGTTTGTCAGTGGAGGACAAACACGATGACCCAAGAGCAGAGTGTATCTGTGTGTAGCACGTAAACACGCAGCATCATTAAACCACAGTGTAGAAAACTGCTCAGTGAAACAAGAGTGCAGCGGATGAACGTGTCGTACAGAGGCGGTGGGCACAGTGCAGCCAGCTCATGTCAGTGAAAGAGCTGTTTGCCACCGACTATTGACTGCTGGGTAAATATCATCCAGCGAGCTGACGCCATTCATGGCATATCAGAGAGATATCATGGTTTAATCAATGATAGAGCCATTTGTTGTTTCTTTCATGGCCTGGTTGCTAATTTAGTGCAGCACTACCACCTCACACCATGGAGCCAGAGGGCTGCATGTACTGTGCATTAGGTTGCTACGGACCACACAGTGCCAGTGTTAGAGTATGACTCTGAAACACCTCCTCATCCTCATCCTCCTGCCTCAGCCTGAATACAGTAAGTACAAATGTTCAGTCAGACTGGATTGTTGTCTTTTCTTTTATTCGTCTTTGTTTTGGCTTAAATGATGAAGACAGAGGTTTAAATGTGATTTTCCAATATCCAACACGTTTTCATGTCAACTCATCAAATACTGACGCTCTGTCAGTGGATCTACACGTCAAGATATGATGTGTTAGGTGCCCTCCCACGTCAGCTTTGGGTGTTCAGGGACCAAATGTCACTTTACACTTGTTACATGATTGTGTCTGATCCCAACACACTGCTGTTTTCACAGGAAATATACACTTGCTGCTTGTTTAATACACTACAGCCTTTTAAAAATTAACTTACAGCACAGGTAAAACACTTTTTAAGTTTTAAGTTTATGTCCTGAAGTTTAGGCAACAAAGGCATGTGGTTAGGTTTAGAACAAAACATCATGGTTTGGTTTAAAAAAGTCACTAACATTACGGCGCTAACGTAACATGCTACACCTGCTAGTACACCACGTTGTCGTCAGAACAACTCAACTTACTTTCAGTGTCACAGGAAACAAACAGTGAGCTCTTGGTTGAAAGTCTGGAGCTTTTCTGCTCTTTCTGCTTGAGTTGCCAGCAGAGTCAGAAACAGCTGCAGCCAGATGTGTTTCATACACCACTAAGGGCCCATCTGGGCTTCAGTATCGGACACTGATGGCCACTGACAAAGTGTTGGTTTCTGATGAGTTGGGAGTGAGAACTGGGCTGAAATATCCAACACATCGAGATCAATGAGAAAATTTGACCATACAAAAGTGACCTTAATGACCTGGGATGTTTATCATAAAAAACATAATTGTTGGATCTACATTTACACAAAATATGGGGAACAGCGGGCTCCTGGGGGAAAGTCCACGGTTTGTTGGCTCCAACCACTGCCCCTCCTGCCCGCCCTACAGAGACCCTCCTGCTCCTTACATATATACATACACACACACGTCATTACCAGCAGCGTTTCAACCTGACATTGTCCAGCAGTGTAT